AAGCTATTGATTAAAAGTTCTAATATTTTACATTAGTTTCTGTTTCTCAAGCTTTTAAAACATAATCTATTGTTTCAAATTTATATCTGCATTTTAATTAAATTTAGAGATATATTAATATTTAAATATATTTTCAATCTAAAAAATGATGTTAATACATTTTTAAGTTAACAATAATCATATTAAATAGCTTGCTGACTTCTCTATTAATCTACTATTAGATTATCGAAAATATTCTAGATGTTGAATTTAGTAAAATCCACATTCAAAATTGATTTATTTTCATATTGATTCTAATATTTGTTTTACTAATACTAAATTATAAATTGATGATTTTATATACTGATCATTTTACAAAAGAAAGAGAGTTCAAAAATAGGACTTCAAAACAAAAATTCCAAAACTCCTTTATACAAAGAATAAGATATGTTTAATAAAGTCTTATAAACTTAAAATTTCATTTTTCTATTATATAATAGTATTCTCCTTGAGGTGATAATAATTCTCAAAACTATATAATAATTAAAGAATAAAATTTAAATTAGTAAGCTTGTTAGAGTTCAAGAAAGAAGTTTCTAAATAGAAAATTAATTAGGATGATTATTTTTTTACATTTTCTGGAATTTTACGCAAATTAAATTGATTCTTAATGATGACTTTTACATATTGCTATTTTGAAAAGATCTATCTTTATCGAAAACAAAATTTTAGGCATCTTTTTGAAATCAAAAAAAGCATGTTGTTATTTGAATCTTATAATTTAAATTTCTATCCATACATCATATTTTCAATTTAATTTTTAATATTATAAATCTATAGTTTTCTTCTAATCAAGACCCAGATTTTTGTTTTATAAAGAATGACCTTTAGGATTTCTAACAAAAATTTCCATTATATAAATGAAATTATCATTTTAAGTATTCAAAAATATTAAGAATAGTAATGTAATCTTTGAATAATTAAATTAAGAAATAACATATTATTCCAAAAAAAAAATGATTATTATATATTAAATATTTAAAGTTAAATGCATCAAAATTATCTTAGTATTTTTCATTTCTAATTAAAACTCTGACTTATAAAATTTTGGTTCACTAAAAAATTTGGATCTAAAAAAAATCATGGATTAGCTTATTTAATATGTTGGTCTCCCAGAGTCTAAAGAAAATATATAGTAGTAAATTACCAAAAATTTATAAAAAATTTAATATAACGATTTAAAGACATCTGCATTAGTAAAAATCACAAACATCAGCTATTTAAATAGAAAAAATAAAAAGTACTACTGATTCCTATTGTTAATATAATCTGAATTCAAAATTTACTAATTCGAATGCCCCAATTTAGTCGATGAAAATAACATATCAATAATTTGAGTTAATTTGATGCTATACTATTTTGTTTTCAAATAATTTTTATTTAGTTTTGAAATCTTTTCTTTAAGTTTCATGACTCTACTTTTTCATTTAAACTAAGGAGATATTCCTTGCATTTAGCCACTCAGAAAATAAGGTTTATGCATAATTCTAAATAGATATAGCCATTGACCAATATGATTTTAGATTTAGTCTATAACTTAAAATTAATATAATTCATTTTTCCTCTAAAATATTCAGATTAATTTAAATACTTATTTAGAATAAATTTAAATTTCAAAATGATTTTAAATTTAGAACGATCAGAAATTCATATATTTCATTTATATATTGGAAAATTTCCAATAATAGACTTTTAATTAATTCACTTAAATTAAATATAAAATATTTATTATGGTTCCAATTACTGTTAAAAGTTTTTAGTTTCCAATTTATCTCTTATATGATTTTTACTAAATTTTTAGACATTGTAATATATATAAAATATTTGAATAAAGTGGTCAAATAAACTCTCTTATGATTAAATATTAAACACTTGAATTTTGATAAGATTTATATTTGTTTTAGAGGATATAATAATTAAAAGTATTGCAGAGTAAAATGAAATAAAGTAATATAACAGTGGTTACAAATAAATACATCAAGTAATTCTTTAGTTTCTTAAGTTGTTTGGATTTAAACAACAAAGTTTAGAGTATGAAATATGATTAAAGGATGAAGAGCAAATTCCTTTATAAATCTATCAGCATATTAGGCTTTCTAAAAGTTTTCCATAAATATATATTAACTATAAACATCAATAACTCTTATGAAGGTAATTATTAGTTTTTTCACGTAAATAATAGAATGATGAATAAGTTAATTATCGTTTTTCAAAATTTTCAATATTCCATTAATAGAACTACTATTAAAGTTTCGTAATTTAAACTTCATATACTTTGAAGCTATTTTATTAATAAAATCCTAATTGTTCTTATGATAAATTTATAAGAATTTAAAATATAGCTTTTATGATTTATCTTTTTCTAATTGCGTAATTTAATATAATCCTATAAATCAAACTGAAATTTATTTGAATTCAAAAATTCTCAAATACTTTAGTAATTCATTTTAATATGATAAATCTGAAAAATTTTCAAATAAATTCAAAATACCAGTTGAAAAAATAGATATAATACAGAATAAAAGTAAACCGAATTAAATTCGTAATGGCAATTTTGAAAAAACTTACTACTATTGTTATAGAATCTTTCACAAATGCATGATGATGCCATTTATTTTACTTTTAAGTATAATTATAATATACAAGTATGATTTATTTAGATTATATAGATTTATATATAAAATAATTTTATTTTGATCTCAAGAAAATCTACATTTTTTTCAGTAAATAGACAATAAGTTTTAATAATATCAATTTTCTAAAATTCAAAGTATATTTTCGTTTTTTAATCAAAATTTAAAAAAAATGATAAACCTATGTGATTAAATGTTCTCCATAATAATTCAATATACCAATAAGATGTTTATCTTTAATTCTTTAGATTCTTAAATTAAAAATTCTTCTTGATATATTAATCTATAATATTTAAGTTCCACATTAATAATCCAAATGAAAAAAAGTACTTAGGCTAATATTATAATGGTTGAATTGAATACAATTCTCCATAGGAGTCAACCTTTCCTCTGATGATTTTAATCCTCAACAAAATAAGATTTAGAAAAGTTTAATAAGTCCACATAACAGAAATGATGATTAATTTTCCTATTGGTTTTATGAATTTTGGTCAAGTTGAAAGAATATGGAGAGGAACAATTTAGATTATATAGGAGCTTAGGAATGGAGTACAATTCTAATTTATAAATAATATTGTATCATGGATGTAAAAATATCTAATCAATTAAATTGTGAATTATTGGTAAATTCCTAGTTACAGGATAGCTTATACTAATGATAACTTGTAAAGATGAATTCAAACCAATATTAACTATTTGTCTAAAATTGTGCATCGAAGAGCCATCTTAAATAAAATGATGAATAATTATAAATAAATATAAAGGAACTGTTAATTTTACATGATAGATCATGTTATATAGTAAATTTAACTTAAATTTCTATTAAAATTTAATCTAAGGTTTGTTTGAAACTTTTTTCCTCAATTTCATCTTTAAAGTTAAAATTTTGATTGTTGATCNAAAAATGAAATTACTTTGATGATTAAAATTAGGATCATTTATTCCTTAAAAATAAAAATACAACTAAAAATTACGAAAACCTTTTATCTTCCATATTGAAGCCATTTAGCAATTATAAACAAAATGAAGATTATAATTTAAATAAATTCTAATTCAATTATTATAAATACTATTTCAAGCATACACAATAATTTAATAAAAATTTTTAATCTATTAGGAGACAAAATTTCAGCAGCCTTTCTTAAGGAAAATTCAAATACCTTTTCAATTTCATTAATTTTTAATCATCTCATAAATATAATAAATAATTATGAACTTTTTACTATCTGATCAACTCTAATAACAAAATGAAAGCCATTTAATGGCATTTTTAATTATTTCCTGTGTGTTCAGTTTATTGTTTAAATTTAATTAAAAAAAAATTATTAAATTTTTATTATTTTGTTATAAGTTGTATATTGTACAAACAATTATCCAAATTTCTAAGATATTTCTAATAAAATCAAATAGAAGAGATTTAATAATCATAAATAAAATGTTGAAACAAATAAGTTAATGCTTAATGATTTCATATAACTCATTCTTTCATAGTCAAAATAAATTGACAGAATTAATGATCTCCTTCTTGGGGTAGAATCTATATGTCTAAGAGTTTCATCTACTTGCATCTTGACCTTGCTCAATCTGGAGAGACCTGGATCAGTGATTATTTCTATCATATAATTTTCAAACTTAAGGACATAACCGTTAGGTAATATAGCTTATATTCTCCAATTTGTTTCCAAATTAAAAAATAAATTCTTTTTGATAAATTGCATAACAATCTATTTAGTTTGTTAGCTTTCAGTATAAAATTAGACTCTCTTTTTTTAGAATTTTCCTCTATACTCATCTATTTAATTTATGATCTATAAGGAGAGAGGATTTTGGTTATTCTCAATTAGAGAATGATCCATTATTAAAGAGCGGAGAATATTTTTAACCATATTCCTTGCATTTAACCACTTAGAAATTAAGATGTAATGTATAATTCTAAATAGATATAGCCAATATAATTCATTTTTGCTCTAAAGTATTCAGATTAATTTAAATACTTATTTAGAATAAATTTATATTTCAAATTGTTAGTTACGATTGCAATATTAGGAATTTTCAAAGATTTCTTTAATGCTTCGGAAAGAACCTAAAAAAAATTTTAACTTATTTATTTTTAATATAATATAGGAGTAGTTATTTTTTAAAGAGGTTTATATACTTCAATTTTTGCTAGAAATTAAAGGTATTTAAATCTAATTTGAAGCTTAGATACCATTATTTCGAAATATACAATTATCTATATTTTTGAATTATAAATCAATTTCTTATTATTAGTTTGATTAGACCAATTTATTCTTATCTAAAGTGATAAAGATAAGATAATCTATGAATTTTTGATTAAATCCATTATAATAGAAAAGATATATTTTCAAATTCATTATATTAAGTCTTAATAGAATTTAGTATAATTTTAAAAAATATGAATTCTGCTCATCATCCTTAGAGTGTAATATCTTTGATATGATGCTTCTCAAAACTATTAAAGGAAATTCTGTGTTGAATGTCTACAAAAAAAAGAGCTTGATTACCTCAAGACAGTACTTATTGATAAGTTTCATGAATAAGTTGTTAAGAAATTTCAAAAATACAAGCTTAATGAAATTTCTGAATTAAACCAATAAAATCTCTCCTATCTCATACAATAATTGTTATTCAGAAATTTTTGGGAATAATTGTCCTAATCAATTACTTCAATATTTGACATTATTGAAAATTAAAATTAAGAATATTTGAATCTCATGAATAACAATTATAATCTAGCAGAATCCTCTTATATTAATTTGGAAGAATTACTATACATTATTAAGGGAAATACTTTAGATGATTGGGATAATCAAAAGACATCTTACTTAAAAAAATATGAAAAAAGCTTAATAATGGATAGATCAGGAATCGGCGTATTTTATTTAAAAATTAAAGAATAAAATGAAAGAGATGTTGTCAATGTTTATATGAATGATTAAGAAAAAAAATAATTAGAGAGTACTGTATATTATATATATATAAAGAAGAAAGAGAGGCTATTTAGATGATTAATATAAATTAGTTGTATATAAAATAAAGATTAAATTATAATTGCAATTAAATTTAGAGACAATAGTTTTTTATTGCTAAACAAGTCTGAATATATTATCTAATGGCAAGGTCTAAAAAGAAAAATCGAAAAACTTTTATCAAGGTCTATATAAAAATATTATAATCATTATTATTACTAAATATTTATTACCACTATTTTTAATTTTATTCACAAATTTCATCTTCTATTAAAAATTGTATTCTAAATTAAAAAGTATTAAGTTGATTAATACATAAAAAAACTAGGATATATCTAATGAATTGTTATTTTATTATCATATAAACTAAAGAATACGAATGAGAAAATGTATGAGTTATAATTTGTGTAAT